TATATATATATATATATATATATATATATATATATATATATTGAAAGAAATATATAAACACAGTTAAAGTAACTATTTGTGTTTGTAAATGTTTAATTGCATGAAAACATTTTCTTTATTTTTCATTATGTCCATGTGAACATATATAATTACATATGTATACATATGAAATTATATAGCAGAGAAAAAATTCATGTATATAAGTATATATAATTATATTTATATACAATTTTTAAATTTCTTTTTACTCTGGTTAATGCAGATACGTATCATATTACTGGATATCCTGTAATGATCTATCAATCTCACTTTTATATAATGTTTGTCATTTGGTCAATCAATATTTCATGAGCAATAACATTATTGCATTCGTGTTTTGCAGGTGAATATAAATGATCCTCTGCCAAAGACCGCATGTCTACACTGTATTGAACGATTAGAGGCACACCATGAACTAATGGAACAGTTCATGTTTGCTAGACGGAGATTAAACACAGACAATAAGACTACTACTGTAGCGTCCTCCTCCACAACAACTTCCACGACAACCGCTCCGACATCGAGCCCACCTCCGTGTTGACATGTGCAATGGAAAATAGCATGCCCTTTCGCCCAACACGCCACTCTCCAAGATCGAATATTTTCCGTATAATTTTTCATTTCATTTAGTCCCCTAAGCTGGTGAGCGATGAGTGTAAAAAAAAAAAGAAATGACAGGATCAAAGTAAAATAATGTCAAATTATACATTTTCTATATGACACGATGTTTTCACACGCAACATTACACATTCGTTTCAGCGACCAAGTATTCTTTCATAATATTAATGAGGTGTGAAGGCTGCATCATGCCAATGTGAAAGAGTGTAATGTCGAATGTGTCGAGATAGCTTCAATGACGCACGATATGCGTTTTTGTATATGTAGCATTGTGTAAAGGCAGCCCGTCGTTGATTTAAATAAGAAATCATATAATGCCATGTTGATCCTTTCTCACTGACCTGTATGGTCGGTAATTTGTAATAAAGTGATACCTTAGATGCGAACTGTTTGGGCAAACGCAATACTATCGAAATAATGGAATACACATTCATGTTCGAAGGAGACATTTGGTCTGTCCTTTTTAACTGCACTGTACTGGGATTCTGTAACTCGTTATTGGAGTTAACGACAATTTCGTTATCGTTGCGTAGCTTTTGTATACCATAGAAAAGCTGCGCAACGATAACGAAACTGTCGTTAACTCCAATAACGAGTTACAGAATCTCAGTACTGGTGCAATTAAGTTAAAGTGAGATAAAATAGATTTGTCTTGCTCTAACTTATTGCATCGGTGTAACAGTGCAGCTGAACAGACCTATTACTGGATATCTGGTAGTCATTCAGAGTATTCGCTTGTATTCTCAGCAGATGAGATTTTCGTCGGATGCGCCGATAAAGTCCGTACAGAACACGAAATCAGCGTATTGAGGAAAATACGACAATCTACTTTTCACAGTTCAGTTATGAAAGAACTAGGTATGAAAATTTAACATAAAGTGGATACGGATTGTTACGTACGTCTCGTCACATTAGGAATTTTATTGACGAGTGATACGTTCATTTCATCGACCAACGATGATTTTTAAGAACTCAAGAGTATGCAATAATAAATAGCAAATCGAATTTTTACGACCAATCTGTACAGAAAGATTGTTGGTTATAAAGCGCAATTAAGTCCGACCGAAACCGCCTGCAAAGTGAATTCTGTGTCTACTCGCATCGATCCAAGTTTCTTATTTTTTGAATATTACAATGTTTCTTTAGGAATAAATGGCAGGATAATTTCTCGCCGTTATTCCGAGTACTCGATACTGAATACGTCTCTTAGTCATAATCATAATATATATGTATATTATTTTACAAGTCTTATACAGCGTTTTTTCTGAAATGTGTTTTGTAATATTCTCTTTCGTTCTTTTTTTTTTAACGATACTGTTGTACCTTCGACGCATCAATTCTACTCTGGTGTACAAAGATAAATAAAGTATATAGTATCGCGATACACTACACTGTATAATGTAGAAATTTTTTAGTCTTAGAAAATTAGAGAGTAAAATTAAAATATGAAAGCTAACTTATGATGCATGTAAACAAAACAAGTCAATGTATTTTTTAATAATTGATTTGCGCTATCTCTTTCCCTCCCAGGTTTTCTGTTATGATTCGTCACGTCGACATACAAAATGAGTGTTAGAGGAGAAAATGCAGAGATTATTTGTATGTATGTATATATATATATACATATACATACATACATACATATATATATACATACATACATATATATACACACATATATATATGTATTGTGTCCTGTTAATGGTGCATTACGTTAAGTCAATCATGTTTGTAATCAATAAAAAAGAACATAGTTATCTTATTATCCTAATATATAAGTCCAAAGTACAATAACGTGAATATTTGTACAATTATATTATATTAACAAGTAGTTTTGTGTAAGTTTTACAGAGGTCTTAATCTGTTCATCTTTGTTTGTAAGCCACAATATAATAAATAATACGTATAACAGATTTTAAGTATAACGTGTGGAATATATAATTTCCGTTTTTTGGTTCTACCTTTCGTGGTCGTTTCGAACAAACTCGGCACCTACATAAATAAAGAGAATACAGAGGAGCAACGACTAGTAAGCTGACATCGTTTCTTTTTTTCCGTTAAGATAAGATTTATTTCTTAACTATATCCACTGACACAGTTAAATGTTATGTGAAATAATATTACTGTTCGGCGAGACACAAATCTGCCTTGTGCTTATTATATGTACTATTTCACATGTAATGTCATATGATTTACAGGGACCATAATTGTTTTCAGAAGATGAGGATGCATTTGTTACGCGACCATAATGATTGGACAAACGCATAGTAACAGATACGTGCTGTTCTTAAGTTTATAGTTTGACTTATTTGAACCATACAGGACTGCCACGACTTCATCAATAAAGATTTGTTGCAAAATATTTTTGCATTATAAATAAAAATCGTTAATTTAATAACGTAACTAATAATAATTTATAATTTTTATCAATTTTTCTAATTACCGAATTATAATTCTTTTGTAAAAAATATAATAATGCACATATTTTCTTAACATTAAGATAGAATTGAACAGATCATTCAGTTTAGATAATGTACACGCGAATTAACAAATAAATATCACTATAGGTGTACTATTGCGCTGTGTGAGTCTATGAGTAAACCTCAATCGACGTCAACTAAAATTCTACATATTGCCAATATCAGAAAAGATTATATATATATATTACATAACAAAATATATAATATATAGTGTACAATGATGAGGCAAAAGATTGCAAGATCTCTAGGATGATAAAATATGCAATGTTTTGTTCATACGAAAGTCGTACAGTCACTGCAACATTCGATTAACGCTCTTTTAACATAATTTCCCCTCTACCGACTTCGTGCAATTATTTCCATACGATATAAATTACCGAGAATAATAATTTGCATTAATATTGAAATGCATCCTCTGGTCTTCTCAAGACAAGTATATGCGCGTATGCTACTCCAACATTTCTGAAACCATTATACAGCGAAATGCGCAGCTACATCGGAGTAAACAACCATTAAAATCTGACTTGTGTCTGTAAACACACGCAATGTAAAATATGTACAATGTCGAGAAACCCAACATCTTCTCATTCTCCCTTCGGACTCACGTGTAATCGCATTCTCACATAAAGCACATTCGCGATTGACCTTTTATAAAAAAATATATATATGATATATATTTATGTATCTATATAAAATTTTTCACATTCTCTTTTTCATTTTCTCGGCCAACGTATTTTCTTACAAATTTATCCTCAACTCGACGGCGTTTGATTCGTATTTCCGCGAGTGTTTCTTATGATTAAGTTCCGATTCTTTTCGTGTCTTTTCTAATTTTGTAATGTACAGTATTCTCCGACATTGAAATACAAATATAAATGCATCTCCGACCGATCGTGACGATACGATATACGATGAGTGATCCAATCATTATAAAGAGCGGAGTGGTAGCAAGAGATGTAACATTGCGCGAAATCGGTAAACTGATAGTATCTCGTTGAGCTGCATTCACGACAAATTGTCACATAATCGAGGAACAAAGGGAAGGAAATAAAAGAAAAAAAATCGAACTTATCGGGAGCGATGTCGGGATTGATATACGCGTGTGTCAATTTCGCTTGTATGAATCATTGTGTGTTCGTATCTTTTGTATATGTATAGTATGGTCTCCTGTTTACTCGACACAGAGATATATGTATAAGAATTTATGTACACGGAAATTAAAATAGCGATCGATCGCTATTCTATCTTTTTCTCTTTCCTCTTCCGTTTCTCGTTTAGTCAGCAATCCCGCTCTATTTCACACACATATCAATATAGAAACATTTCTTCACTTGCTCTCCGTCGTACAAACAGTTTACTATAAATATTGTAATTCGTTTGCTATCCTCCGGTAATACATGACATTGCAACGTTTAATTATACTTCACCTTATTTAACTGAGAATCTTCTATAATATACACGTACATATGCAAGTCGTGCACCAATATGTTTTTCACTATATATATATATATGTGTGTGTGTGTGTATACACATATATATGCATGTGTGTATGTTCAAATATTTACATTCACTTTCTATGTACTATAAAACACGCAACGTTCTTTTGCAATATAGCTGCGTGAAATAACTGGTATTTCTTCGTTTCTTACGTCCTTTTATCTTTTTTTTAACACTCTTGTGAAAACAGCTCAACCGCAACTGGTAGTAATTATACTCTGGGGAAAAGGAAATAATAGACAGCTTAGATAATTATTTGTTCCCAAGATGTCTTTACAATAACTTACTATCGGTAACGCTCTTTTCAGCCTTCTCTGGTTTTCCGTTTTCTTTTTTTTCTTCGTAATGAAAACAAAAACGAACGACGAAACGATCATCGGATAGATAATTTGTACTTTGCGTCTGAGCAGGTGAAGTCGAGAATAAACACTTTTAACGTAAATTAGATCTTGACAAAATAATGTACAATAACACAATATTATACGAATATACATGTAACACATTATATATGTTAGAATAAATATATATATATATATATATATATATATATATATATATATGTATGTGTATATATATAATAATGTGTGTGTGTGTGTGTATATATAATAAATTACATATATATGTATATGTCACACACTAATTCTCTCTTTTTCTCATCTTGATAAACATGACCCTCCTTACGCTAAATCTTACTACTATATCTACAATTTATATTAATGGAGAAAGTGTGGAGGGGTAGTTATTTTTCTATCAAGCAATGTTACATTGGTAAAAATTGTCATGAATTTCGTCGTGATTGCATGATGCCCGTGCTATGTGACACTACTTTGATATTCCAGTTATCTTAAACATCCCCAAGATGTTTCACTTAGTGCTCAAGGAAAAAACTGGTCTTTCAGGACTGTCTATCACGAGCAAGCCTGTTGCATCTCTGCCTTGGCTGCTTTAACCGCTGAAACAGAATGTTTTAACATCAATATCATTCACGACGGATCTTTCCGCCTCATTTCACGAATCTCGAATCTTCGATGATGAATTATGAGGATCTAATAAAGAGTGAGAGTTACATTTCTAACCGAATGCATTGGTATGTAAAATTCAAAAAGATATCAATCTTTGTTTTACTTTAACATCTGCGAAACGCATACAAGATCTGTTCTATAATTAATGTTATAAAAGAGAACGTTGTTTTATCACGTCACAATAGAAATGTATCTAATAAAGTCAAATTATTAAATATCAAATACGACATGAAGGAATAATGAAACTGATGATGGCGAAACGAATAAAGTTGGACAATAGATCGTCGAATTATTCACCTTCTCGTTCTCGCCTTCGTAGTTTCTTCCGACGTCGCTCTATAGTGGCTAGCTCGACTTTTACTGCGTTATAAGTTTTCCGCAGCTCGGTTAATTTCTGCTGTAACACTGCTATCCTCTGACTGGCGTCCAATTCAGGATCTGTCGAGAGACAGCGATAAGAGTAGATTAATTAAAAAAAAAACTAACTTACTTGACTTACAATTTCATTAGATTACCAAGGTTCCAATTATAAGATATTTCAATTATAACACATATTAAGATATATTATAACTTAGTAAGAGTTATATATAAAATATCCTTAACATGCTATTATAATATTTTTTTAGTTATGTGTATATGTGTGTAAATAAGCACATCTCCAAGTGATATATATATATATATATATATATATATATATATATTTGAAACTATTCAACGTACCCAGTTCCACGTAAAAGTTATATTTCGTCGGTCTCGGTGATCTCGACGAATAGGTAGCGGCCAGATCGGTAACGCTGGTGATGTTGGTGTGAGCAGTCGGAGCGGTGTTGACAGTGCACAAGTTGGACCCCTCGCTGGTATCGTCACTATCACTGCCTGCACCGTATCTACCGCTGTGTCTGCTATTAGTCTGCCTACCAACGGGTTTCTTCGGTGCCACTATGCCGCTGCACTCGGAGTGTTTCCGGTTTCTCTTGCGTTTCTTAGGTGACGATTGTATATCGTCGCCGATCGAGCGTTTAGCCGGCGGTTTGAGCGTCCTATCAGCGGAGTTGCTCTCAGAGTTGGGCAACGTGTCGTCTTCGCTGAAACCCGGCCCTTTGCCGGCGCTATCGTTGTCCGCTTCTGAACTGTCGCGATTCAGCTTGATATTGTCTTCAGAGGTCGGCGACGAGCCGCCAGTTCTCTCCTCCCTTGGCGAGCCGGTGATATTGGAGATGCTCGAATCGGGAGTGGTCGGTGGTGTATTGTCCATCACCGGTGCAGCCTCGTTACTCTCTCGTCGTTGTGGCGGCAATAATGCCGGTGGCATGTGCTGCTGATGCTGTTGCTGATGCTGCTGATGCTGCTGTTGCTGCTGCTGTTGATGCTGCTGATGATGTTGAAGCTGTTGTTGTTGCTGTTGCTGCTGCTGTTGGTGTTGATGCTGTTGATGCTGCTGCTGTCGCACATTCAAGGATGGATTCTGTTGCATCGGCAAGGAAACCGATACCGTGGCCTCAACGGTTTTCGGTAACGACATGCTAAGAGTGGCGACGGTACTGCTGCTGCACGTGGTATTCTGGCCAGAAGTGGGCGCACTTGCGAATGGCATCTCCATCAGCACTATGCTACTCTCAGTGACTTCATTCTTGGGGGAGTTGCAGGCAGGATCGGCACTCGCTTGCTCGATACTCTCGGAACCCGGCGGAGCCGGTGAACCGGGTATCTCTTCTTCGCACAACAGAGAATTCATCGTCTCACCTTCTTCGTCAGTCTTCGAAACGGATGACGCTAGGTCGGACACTTTAACTTCTGTACATTCTTGCTGCTGTTGTTGCTGCAGTTGTTGATGTTGGATGTTTTGCGAGGTCTTCGACATCTGTGTCCTCGTGTATCTCTCTTGTGCGTCCTGCAGACGATCCAACTCAGCTCGTAACTTGACATCGAAGTTGGACGTCGACACTTTGACATCGTGCAGCTCCTCGTTGTCGATCACAAGTCTTTGTTCCGAATCGCTGCTGTCTGTGGAATCTAAAATGTCCTGGTTTACCTGCTTCTTACGGGTTTCGATTCTGTCCTTCTCTGTCTGCTCGATCGCCTTGTACTCCTCTTCAGACCGCTTACCGACTTCGTTCTCCGTGTTCTTCCAATTGTCATCTCTGTTGACTTCCTGCAACTTTGTTTTGTGATCAACGACGACTGTCTTCGCTTCCACGAATTTTTTCAATTCCGCTTCCTTCTTCAGTTTCAGTTGTTGCAACTCCTCCTCCTTTTGCTTGATCGCCACGCGCATAATTTCCCTACGCTGTTCCTCTTCGTTCATCATCGCGGTCTCCTGCTGCTGCTCGCGCTTCTTGTCTTGTTCGTCCATTTCCTCATCTTTTATTCTATGCAGAATTGTAATATCCAATTTCTTGGATGCTTCCTTCATTACTTTGCGCGTCGTTACGTCGGCCACGACATCATCGTCCAGATTCGCCTTTTTGTTATCTTTGGCTTTGTTGCGGAACGCCATCGCAGCCGCCGATAACTTCTCTTCGATCGTGGACGTCGCCGGCAGTCTCGCGCTTATGGGCGCCGGAGGCGTCACGATCGGTAACGGAGCGACCGGAGCGATGTCGAGCAATTTCGTGTCTAGAAGCCTCAGTTCCGACTGTGACTGCATGGTCGCGGACAACTTGACGACGTACTGTTTCGGATCTAAGGAGTTGTTGCCGATCGACTTATTGTTACTGCTCGCGCTCGTCATCGACGTTTCTTCCTTCGCACACTCAACCGCGCTGGTGATGGTCGTCTCGCTCTTATTGTTCAACTCCGTAATATCCGACAATTCGGCGCCATGGAACGGGGCCTCCTGCTGGTACGAGAAAGTGTTATCCTGTTCCACTTCCGATACCTCGGTTTCCGATATGATTAGACGATCCTCCGAGTCATCGCGCGTACCTTCGTCCTCCGCCGGCAAGTCGCTGAACAGAAGATTCAAGCCGCTAGAAGCCGCTTTGGTTGATTCCTCCACGACCGTCGTTGGCTTCACTTGTTGATTGAACGATGGAGACTCGCACAGCTTGTCAAACGCGTCCTCGCACACGGATGGCGTCGTCTGAGAGGTTGATTTGCTGAGCGATTGAGAAATCGTCGCCGGCGCCGGCGCCGCTTCGCTCACATCTTCGGATCTTTTGTTGGTGAAAAGTTTTCTCGGTTTCTTCGGCCGGCTTTCATTGTCCGACTCCGTTTTTACTTCCCTGGCTGGCGTCGTCGACATCGGTGTGACTTTCTGCTTCTTCTTTGGACTTTTAGGCTCGTCCTCGAACATCTTTTTCTTCAACTTGTCTTTCTCACCGCTGGTGTCTCGCTTGTTCCTCACCTCAAACTCAAACGGTTCCGGCTCCTTAAACTCGTAAATGTCTTCTGTGCTCTCGACTTTTGTCTCAACGACAGCTTCCACTTTCGGGGTCTCGACGAGTTTTTCCAATTTGGGCGACGCTCGACTGATAGTAGCGGCATTCTCCTTTTCGTCCATCTTCACGTCGTCCTCTGGTTCTGGCTCCATCCTAACCAACTCCATTTTCACCGCTTTATCGAAACCCTTCAACTCAGATCGTATCTGATTGAGATCGAAATCTCGACCCTTAGGTTGTTCCTCGTCGCTGTCGGGTTCTGATTTGATGCCCTGCGACTTGCCGGGTGTCCTTCTCAAACGTCTGCCCTTACGTGGCTCTTCCAGATTGTCCTTCTCGTCCTCAGCATCACTGACGTCTTCCGCCTTTATTCTCTCTTCCACTCTGTTTCGCGCCTCTTTCCGCTTTCTCTCCTCCGTGCCTCTCAGTCTGGTCTTAGTTTGCTCGGGCTCGGTGGTGTCGGAATCATAGCCGTCGCTACCCTCGCTCTCCGACACGACAGATATGTCTGTATGACCAGACATTCGTCTGGTGCGCCTCCGGTGCTCTATGGTGCCCGACAACTCTGTATTTCTACTGGTTCTGGTTTGCCGATTGTTTGCGGGCGTGGCGGGACTTTTTGTTCTGGAACTGGAACTGGCAATTGACAACGGCGTACTAGCCCGGATCGGTTGCGGTGTCGTCTCCTTATCCTTATCCTTCTCTTCCTTCTTAACATCCTTCATGGATGTGGAGGACGTGGCGCTGGTGGACATAGGAGCGACACTCTGCGCCCGACGACGACTCTGCGACGCGTTGGTCGTTGAATTGCAGGCACCTTTGGCCGATTTATTGTTCGGCAAATTCGTACTGGGGGTTTGCGGCCGAGGTGTCTTGGTACGCTTCACTCTACCTTGAGCATGTGTGTAGTTTTGGGCGATCCTGGACGGCTTGATCCACTCATCGTATCTGGTGTTCCAGCCGGTATAATGAACGAGATACATCAACTCTGCGCCATCCTTCTCTATCTCGAGCACTTTCGCTTCGTACGTAACTTTGGACTCATGCGTCGGCCCGTAGTAGACTTTCAGTCTGTCGTGGACGTCGACAGGACCTTTGTAACTAGGCGCTGTCTCCGTGAGTTGTTCGTCCGCGCGCAATTTCTCCGTCTCGTATTCCTTACGTTTCCTACCGCGTTTCTTTAACTCCTCATCGGTCAAACGTCGTTGTTTAGACAATGTTTTCCTCTCCGCTTCCTTGGACGGAGTTCGCGTCTCCCTGCTCTCGGTAGTGCCTTTATTTTTCACGGTATCGTCTTTCGCCTTGGACCTCGTTTTGGTGGCTTCTTCTTCCTTCGGCTTTTCGTCCTTCTTTTCTTGCTTCTTGTTCTCCGTCTTCTTCTTCTCGACTGCCTTCTTCTTGGTCTCCTCTTTGCTCTTCGGCTTGGCTCGGCTGGACGACGCGTTCGTGCCAGAGGATAACGTGGAGGAAATCGACGCAGCTGATTTCTGTGATTTTTCACCTGTGCTTGACGACGACTCGGTCTCAGCTTCTATATTCACATCGCTCTCTTGGCCACTCGCGTTACTTTCCGGCTCTTCTTTCTTTTTTATTTTTACAACTTCCTCCTCCTTCGCCTGATCTTTCTTCACCTCTTTTTTCTCCTTCTTTTCTTCTTCCGCAGCCTTCTTTTCGTCTTCTTCCTTGTCATTCTTCACCGCTGGGACTTGGGGCGGTATTGGGGTATTTCTGTCTTTGTCGCGGATCAGACTTCTTCCAGGTCGTTGTTTACGCGTGCTACCTCGCGGGTGATTCACCATGGTGCAACCCAACTTTCGATAGAAATCCTCAAAGGAATGCAGGAATTTCTTATAAGCTTGTTTCACGAGGTTATGCGTGGATGGTGAGTTTTGCATCGCAAAGCTAAGCCGTCGCGTTATGATCTTCCATTGATTCTGATTTGTGACGCGGTTATAACCACCCAGTTTGTAAACCGCTCGGAATAGCCTATACAAATCGATGTCTTCTGATCCGATCATCGGACAGTTGTTTATAGGCGTACCACGATCGTCCATAAATTTGTACAACTGCGCCACAAAGTGGTCCTTCTCCTCGCGTGGCTCATCGTCCGAACTCTGAAAAAACAAAGCAAGATTTCTACACAATTGTCGTATAAGATACGAAGGAAAAGTGCGAACAAAGTCAAAGGATCTTACATCCGAGTCGAGCTCTCCGTCGGAGTCACTGTTCCCGCTGGAAACTGAGTGGCCGAACAAGGAATCCCTGTCCCAATGAGGTGGCAATTCATTTTTCTCCAAGAACAGAAGCGCTTTCTCGACCGCGACCTTCAGGGTGCTGTTTTCCACTTTATTGACAAGTTCCTTCGTGAATTCCGTGGCTTCCTTTTTAGGTACTGTATAACTAGAAACAAAAAATCAATCGAGGATGATGTAGGATACTTAAGCGATAGCACAAAAGCACGTGCACGTGACTATACGACAAAAAATCTTCACTCACTATCTCGCGTCCTTGAAAGAGCGCACCAGATAGTCGTCTCTCACGCGTATCCTCACGGTATCTTGGGCGGTGGGCGCGACGACCAGTCCCGGGAACCAATTGTCCTTCTTCTTCTTGTCACCGAGCTCCACGCAGACCACTCTGCCAATCTCCGGCTCCGTTTCCATTCCCTCCTTCGAGCCTCCGATGAAGCCGGAGTCGCGCGAATTCCTCGGTGGGCTGTCTTCATCTTCGCTGCTTTCGTCTCTGTTATCAGGCAAAAACAAATATCTCAGACCGACTGATCCAGAATCTCTGTTATACGGAACTTTTCCGTGGCACTTAAGCGCACTTACTGCGCTTGCCTTGATCGTCTACCCCGTCTACCCCCGATCACAGGAGTGCTAAAGTGTTCTGGATGAGTGAGCGGTAGCTGGTCCAACGTTTCACTCTCGGCAAAGTGTCGTCCACTTTTAAGACAGAGCGCGGTCCGCCTCAACGTCGTGATATCGCCATCGTCGAAGACTACAGTATACTGACTGCAGTCTTGGATTTTGGTAATAGTCGCCTCCACAAATTCTTTCCGATCTCCATGCCTAGCTTCAACAGAGGCACCGACTCTTAAAGTCCCTTTTATTTGGTCGTCGGCGACCGTAGCAGTGCCCAAACCTTGTTTATATGTCACACGACACTTTACCGATCGCACCACCTTACGGATTTTAGCTTCGCAGAAGGCACCCTTGTATTTAGCGCTTACTTCTGTACCCACCGATAGGTACGGTGGATCGTCTCCCTGTTCAAACAGATATTTTAACGTGATAATACCACAAGGCATTGTGTCGACAACGTTGTAATGGTGATTTATGTATCAAGCCACTCGTAATGCAGGTTCCACAAGCAAGAAATCTAATGAGCGTGAAATATCAACGAGTTCTTGGAGATACATAGAAATTTTTACTTTATATATTGCATGCACATTATAACATGTATGACGTCGTGCACGAGACTGTGATAGAAACTATAAAGCATAAGAAGAGATTTTAAATGAGGTATTCTAGTATGTGAAGATCCGTTTTCAAGACGATTTTTGGGAATTAATTTCAACCAAATGGTCAAATCTACAGAGTTATTGTTTTGTACTGACATTTATTCATCTTTGAAGAAACATCTCAAATTTTGTCAAAGCTTTTTACTCAAAATTGGAGAAAATACAAGTGGACGAAACAGGTCACGCAGTCTTTGGGCGTGTTGACTGCCGCCGTCTTCGTCGTCTAAAATAAACGAGTTTGCTTTTATTTTGTTCTTTATAAATGTGGCTATCGCCCGAGCAAGAATCTTTTTGATATCTTTAAAATTAATATTTTTATGAACCGCCAAAGATTAAAATTTTTTAGTAAAAATTGGATTATTTTTCAAGCGCTGCCATTGTGTCAATTTTTCTTCAAATTATTTAATTCTAGTTCGGGCGATAGCCACATTCATAAAGAACAAAATAAAAGCAAATTCATTTATTTCAGATGACGAGGACGGCGACAATCAACACGACCGATGGAAGACGATTTTACGGCGTGATCTATTTCGTCCACTTGTATTTTCTCCAATTTTGAATAAAAAGAGCTTTAACAAAATTTGAGATGTTTCTTCAAAGATGAATAAATGTCAGTACAAAACATTAACTCTGTAAGTTCAACCATTTGCTTAAAATTAATTCCCAAAAAATCGCCTTGAAAACGGGTCTTCGTAATACCTTCTTAAACAAAGCAAATATCTTTTTTTCTTCTCTGATATCAAACACCACAATTACCACAACTTATATTCTAATTGCTTGTTTATATTCCAACACTAAATAAAACTATCTAATCTTTAAGATGACTATAAATGTATATATATACATGAAGAAAAAAGTTGTTTATATATTTTTATGAATCTCTATATATTTTTGTAAGTCTCCTTTTTACCCTTCACATTAATATTATTGGGGTAATTTATAGTTTGTGGCTATCAGTATGTTAGTGTGTGGTTACATTTAATGTAGTAGTATTGCATATAACAAGACAAGAAGAAAATGTTAATATTTGCAACAAATTTTTCTTATTCTCTTTGTATACAGCATTAGGATAAATCATAAAACTCAAACAGCAGATAAAGATTACTAACTAGTAATTGTAACAATTTGCATTAACCCATGAGTATTCATTATCAATAAGTAGCAACCAGAAACAAGAATATTTATAATTTTCATAAAGTATACAAATGAAACTAAAGCGTAGATAATATATACATGTGAACATACACACACTCTTGTCTAAAAGTAAAATATAAATGTATTAATATACCATAAATAATGTATTCTTAAATATAAATTTAAGAAAATTGAAAAATATTAAACTGTCTGTACTATTTTCCCAATAATATTTTTCTCATTTAAAACAAGGTTGCCGCTTGACAAAAAAATTGATACCAAAAGAAAGATTCCCAACATGCTGAGAAGAATACACAAAATATAGTTAAACTACACATTGATGAGAAACAATTATAATTGTATAATTGTATATTTGCCTATTCTATGTACTATATTCCGCATTGCACAGAGAATGAGGATGATAAAATATATAAAATTACACAGACCAATGGTAGGCATAAGGATATTGAATTAATGCATCATATTGACCAAACCAGTGACGGGAACGTGTTTCTATCAGTCACACACCGACCTCGAACACATTCCTCGTACTCGAAATAAAACGCACATATGCTCATGCTTCAGATAGAGCAGGAGTACAAGGGGAAGGAATACATTATTAAACACGAGTTTGGAAAAGATGTACTTAAAAGAAACGTTCTACACGTGAAATGTCATTTCGGCACCGATTCGCGGTGCCGATTGAGCGCCTCGAAGTATTCTGTGCGGCCTTTCGCGCCTAGAAAGTACGATCGTCTGTATCGGAATCTTCCGTGTATCAGCGAAGTGAAAAGAGAAAGACAGAGAGACGGACCGAGACAGACAGACAAACGGACGGACGGGACGACCGACAGACAGGCAAGCAAGCAAGCAGACAGAGAGGAAAAGAGGGAGAGAGAAACAGGAGAAACGGGAAGAGGAGAGTTCGCGTCGCGACATTTTTCGCTCTCTCCGCAAGTGCATCTCCCGCCTGTGACAGACATTGCCTCGCGCCAAGAAAGACACCCGGAACACTCTCGCACCCGGGCTCGCCTCCAAGAGACGTAGACGTAGACGACGCAGGAAAGAGGAAGAGAGCGAGTGGACGAACGCGAGAGAACGAAAAAGAGACAGAAAACCGGGGAAAAAGACAGAACAAGAGAAGCTAACGAACGAGCAAACGCGAACGAGCGCGCGCGAGAGAGAGAGAGAAAGAGAAGTATACAGAAAGGGAAGGAGAACGGCAGACGAGGGGGAGGAGGGCAGAGAAACGGAAAGAGCGCGGATACGCGTTCGCGCGGCACGTCATAACGGGGACTTGGCGAAAAATACACTGGACAAAATGGGCAACAACGAAGCATGAGGGAAGCGACAGTAACAGATGCACACGGTCAGCACGAGAGCAAAAGGAAGGAAGGCCAGCTCTGGCTGGCTGGCTGGCGGCG